GTGGCAAGAGTTCCCATTATCTGGAACCATGGTGGTACAGTGGCACCTCAACCTCAAACGATATGGCCCACTCTAGGAGCTTAACATAAGGATTTGTGGAAACTATGAATAGCTCTTAATAAGATCAAAATTTGGGAAATAATTTTAAAAAAGCATCTAGAAGGATGTTCTACAAACTTGTCTTTGGATATTGCAAAATTAAAAGAACAAATATTTAAAGCATCCCAGGCACACCTGACCTTAATGCTGGGAACTGGAGTGCTTGAAGGAGCTGCAGACAGATGAGCGGCTAGTAACCCATTAAAATTGATAAAAACACTTGGAAGCTCTGTGATTTCAATGATGATTGTGCTTTTCATCTGTGTTGTTTGTTTAGTCTGCAGATGTGGATCCTGACTCCTGCAAGAAGTAGCTCACCATGACAAGGCTGCCTTTGCTTCTATTGCTTTGCAAATCAAAGAAGGGGGACATATTGGGAACAGGTCCCCCAAAATCTGGCCATAAACTGGCCTCAAAACTGGCCACAAAGAAAATCTCTGCAACACCATGGTGTGTTTGTGATGGCCATGACGCCCACGCTGGAAGGTTGTGGGTTTACCTGAATGAGGGCAAGGAACACCTGGCCCACCCAGGGCAGAAAACCTCTTAAAGGTGTTCTTAAGCCACAAACAATAGCACGAGCAATCTGTACCTTAACAACATGCTCCTGCTGCAGATAACTAGCCAAACCCATCCCTTAATTTCGGCCCATCCCTTTGTTTTCCATAAGGAATACTTTTAGTTAATCTATAGAAACAATGCTTATCTGGCCAGGCGCAGTGGCTCATGCCTGTAATCCCAGCACTTTGGGAGACCGAGGCGGGTGGATCACGAGGTCAGATCATCCTGGCTAACATGGTGAAACCCCATCTCTACTAAAGATACAAAAACTTAGCCGGGCGTGGTGGCAGGCTCCTGTAGTCCCAGCCACTCAGGAGGCTGAGGCAAGAGAATGGCATGAACCCGGGAGGCAGAGCTTGCAGTGAGCGGAGATCACACCACTGCACTTCAGCCTGGGTGACAGAGCAAAACTGTCTCAAAAAAGAAAAAAAAGAAAGAAAAAGAAACAATGCTTATCACTGGCTTGCTGTCAATAAATATGGGTAAATCTCTGTTAGAAGCTCTCAGCTCTGAAGAGTGTGAGACCCCTGATTTCCCATTCCACACCTCTATATTTCTGTGTGTGTCTTTTGTTTTTTTTTTCTTTTTTTTTTTTTTTTTTGAGATGGAGTCTCGCTCTGTTGCCCAGGCTGGAGTGCAGTGGCACGATCTCGGCTCACTGCAAGCTCTACCTCCAGGGTTCACGCCATTCTCCTGTCTCAGCCTCCCAAGTGGCTGGGACTACAGGCCCCCGCCACCATGCCCGGCTAATTTTTTTTTGTATTTTTAGTAGAGATGGGGTTTCACTGTGTTAACCAGGATAGTCTCAATCTCCTGGCCTTGTGATCCACCTGCCTCGGCCTCCCAAAGTGCTGGGATTACAGGCATGAGCCACTGTGCCCAGCCGTGTGTGTGTCTTTAATTCCTCTAGCACCACTGGGTTAGAGTCTCCCCAGCTGAGCTGGTCTCAGCAGGAAACAATCTGACAGGGATGGGGGGGCGTCTAAATACCTTTCCTCACATGTGCATTGAAAATGATGAAGTGGTGAAGTGTGATTGCTTTCACATAAATAGTGGCGTGTTCTGGGATCTGGCAGACAATCTTAACTTCAGGAACTGCAATCGCATTTTACTAGCTTTGAGAAAAATGAATAAACTGACATAGCTAAATAGAACTCAAGTAGGATCTGTGAACGGCAGTGTGGAGTGGTTAAGGGGAGAAAGTACCGATGAGGGAATTTATATACCCAGCGGCCCAGGTTTGGTGCAGCAGATAACGGAAGGACAAGCCCCAAATTAAACAAATGGGAATGAATTCCTTTGCCTACAGACAGAGCAAATATATCAGTAAAAGTGGCTACAGGGCAAGCAGCAAAAATGCAACAAATCAGAATGAATGCAGGGAGTCCCATTTCTGGCAGAGAAACAAATATTTCAGGAGTCCAGGTAAGAGGCACATGGGGCAGAGAAACAAATATTTCAGGAGTCCAGGTAAGAGGCACATGGCAGAAACAAACAAACAAACAAAAAAGATCTTTGCCAGAGCTCCTATGTCATGCTCATGCTGAGGAGAAACAATGATCTTGCTGGGAATGAGTGCAAGTGGCAAGTGGGGGAACAGAAGGAGTCCTGAGCGGGTCTGACTGCAGTGTCCCCAGGGGCTAAATGGGCACAGCAGCCTCTCTACCTGCAAAGGTCTGTTTCTTGTCTGCTTTCTCTCTACTGGGAGTGGCAGGGCCTGGTGACTGCCCAACTCGGGCGCCAGCAGCTGGGTCCTCACCACATGCCCAGAGTCTGGGCCCTCTCACTCCGGCCCGCCTCCTGAGCTGGAGAACAGAGCCCAACTCCTCTGTCCCCGGCGCCACCTCCCATCCAGGCCATCTCCTGAGGACTCCTGCCGCCAACTCCCACCTGGATCCTGACTCTGGCGGGCATCATTCTTTCAAATAATCCACAACTGAGGGCAGTACCACACCTGAATCCCAGCACTTTGAGAGGCCAAGGTGGGAGGACCACTTGAGCCCAGGAGTTTCAGATCAGCCTGGATAACACAGACAGACCCTCTCTCCACAAAAAAATATTTTTAAAAAATTAACTAGGTGCAGTCCAGCCCGTAGTCCCAGCTATTTGGGAGGCTGAGGCAGGGGGATCACTTAAGCCCAGGAGTTCAAGGGTTACAGTGAGCTGTGATCACACCACTGCACTCCAGCTTGGGCAACAGACAGAAAGACCCTGTCTCTTTAAAAAAAAAAAAAGCCATCAGCTGGCCTAGGTAACCACCTGCCAAGAGTCCCTAGCTGAGCATAAGACTTGCTTCCTAGTTGTCTCACGTGTCTCCATATGAAGAGACCACTAAAACAGGCTTCTGTGAGCAACACGGCGTTTATTCCCACCTGAGTGCAGGCCGGCTGAGTGAAAAGAGAGTCAGCAAAGGGTGGGGATTACTGTTAGTTCTTATAGGGTTTTGGATAGGTAGGAGATAGGAGTAATAAGCTTTGTGGGCAGGAGGTGGATTCACAGTACATTCTCAAGGGTGGGGAGAATTTATAAAGAAGCTTTGAAGGGTAGGGGAGGTTATAAAGAACCTTCTTAAGGGTGGGGAGATTACAGCACATGATCAGTTAGGGTGGGGCAGAAACAAATCACCATGGTGGAATGTCATCAGTTGCTTCATTTCACTTCCTTTGTGGATCTCAGCTGTTTCCAGCCATCCGGGACGCATATGTGCAGGCTACTGGGGATATGATGGCTTAGCTAGCTTCAGAGGCCTGACACTAGCGCTACAGAGCCCCAACTTCCAGCTGCTCCAACGACCAACCAACCGTAACTTCCCATGGCCCTGGGCACTCAAAAGTAGGGCCTGCCCCCACATGGTCTGGGACATGAGCAAAGTCCGTGATCCTGCACCCCTGCCTCCCTACTGTCCTTTGTAGTTTTGTTTTGTAGTTTCTTTGTTTACTTTTCGCTTTGCAGGGCCACAGGCTTCCTTGAAGCAAATGCTACAACTTTGCTTGTAAAAAAATATAACAGCTTTATTGAGATATAATTTATTGTACTATTCATGTAATACCTGCACTATACTATGGAATGTTTCCATTTCAATGGCACAGTTGAATGGTTTTTCAGTGAATACACAAGGATGAGCAAACGTCACCACTCTCTAGTCCCAGAGTATTTCCAGACCCCAAAGAAACCTGAGCCTGACAGCCCTCCCACTCCTCCAGTCCCCCACCTCCAGGCCTCTACCAGGCTACAATTTCATGGGCTTGTCTTCGTGTGGATTTCTGTCTGTATGGGTTTGTTCATCGTGAACTCTTCATATAAACCACCATATAATTTAGGGCTATTTGTGTCTGGAATCTCTGTCTTTAAAAAAATACCCATGAGGCTGGGAGCTTGATGGTGACCCCAGTACTTTGGGAGGCTGGAGGCGGGCGGATTCGCGAGGTCAGGAGGCCTGAGACGATCTCGGCACCAGGTGACCGAGCCCGATGAAAGAGGCGCCGGAGGAGGAGGCTTGGCCCGAGGTGACCCGGAGGTTGCAGTGAGCCAGCCCGCTGAGTCCAGGCCTGGGCAACAGAGCAAGACTTCTGTCTCTAAAATAAAACAAAACAAAATTACTTTCTTTATTTTTGAGATAGGTTTCCTTCCATTGCTTTGTAAGGAGTGCAGTGGCATGACCAGCAGCTCACTGTAGCTTCGACTCCTGGGCTCAAGCAATCCCCACTTCAGCCTCCTGAGTAGCTGGATTACAGACACACCACCATGCCTGACACCTGGCCTTGCAGAGCATTTGTCTCATCACACGCCCAGACCGGTTTGTTTTCTTGCTTGGTGGATTCTTCTGTTGGTTTGGGGTGGCTGACATTTATAGGCGTGAGCCACTACATTTGGTGAGTGGAGTGGAGAGAGAGAGACGACAGGACATTTGTAGGGTATGGCGGATGTTTCGGCTAAGGCAATGGCAGTGACCAGATGAGGTACTAGCATAGCCGTCATCTGGAAAACATTGATCATTCTTCTACTACGAACACTCAATAATCTTCTCTAGCTATATGAAAATACATGATTTTTCTTTGTTTTGTTTTGAGACAGGGTCTCACTCTGCTGCTGTCTCTATGGAGAGCAGAGCAGAGGCCCCTGGGAAGCCAGTGGCCTTGGCCTCAGCACTGCCGGGTAGAGGGTCTCACCTATATAAATGAAGTGCCAGCGTGCTTGTAGTCTGGGTTTTGGCATTTGCTGTGAATATCGGGCGATATTCCGGGACCAGGCGGGGCGGGGCAAGCGAGGCGAGGCTGGTGGACGGGGCGGGCGGGACCAACAGCGCATACTTTGCTGGCCTGCCAGTACCGGCCTCCGCCATGGCTCTGAGGCGCGTCCTACCCGCGCTGCGCCCCTACATTCCCCGCTTCGCCCCACTGTCCACGGCGCCGGCCGTCCGCGAGCAGCCCGCCGCGGGCCCAGGAGTTCTGCCGGGATGCGGGTCGGCCAAGGCAGCAGCCCACCGGTGCCCGCCGACTTCCCGGCAACGCGCAGGAGGCGTACCGCAGCCGGCGAACTGTGGGAGCTGGCGCGCAGCCTGCTGGTGCTGCGCTTGTGCGCCTGGCCCGCGCTGCTGGCGCGCCACGAGCAGGTGCGCGGTGCAGGCGGGGCGCGGGCTTGCCGGTCCCGGGAGCCTTTACGGAGCTTCCTGGCGGAAAGGGGTGCCTCGGGCATCTCCTGGAGCGAGGGAAGCCAGGGAAGGGAGGCGTTTCTGCAGTGCCTTCTTTAACCTCAAATTTTCCTACTTGTCGATGTCTACCAACTAAAAACAATGATCGTTTTAATATTTACGATATATATACCACTTGTGGGAATACAGAGTTATCACTTGGAATTAAAATGGAGAGTATTTCATGTTGCTAAGAGAAGCTCTGGGTGTAGGATCTGAGTTAAACTACTGGACTTGTGCCGCCCTTGTGACAGGGCCACTTGAGCACACTGTTGGGGAAATGAGAAGCTCCTCAAACGCCCAGCTTGAACTCACCCATGGTAACTTTGCAAAAGTGAGGACTTTGGTGTGTGGGTGGGGGCGGCAAACAAGCAGAACACTGTTTGCAAACACTCCATCTGTGCTACTTACATTTACATCATCCTGCGCTAACCCAAAACATGTTAGAAGCTTGCTTCTTTGTTAAGCGCTAATGGAGGGAAGAGGAGGAAGAGGAGGGATGGCGCCATTGAGGGGTGGGCAGGGGAGTGGTGAGATGAGAAGCACTGAGCCACACTTTGAGTTTAGGTGAGGCCTCGGCGAATGCGAGGTGAGGGGCAGAAGTCCAAATCAGAGTCAGATGCTGCTGGCCCGAATCCCATGGGAGCGCTACTTGTCAGCCGAGACCAGTGGTGGCGGGAGTGTGGAGGATGGTGGAGGAAGAAGGAGCTGAATTGACAGGACGTGTGGCCTCTGAGAGGCCATTTCTGTGCTTGTGTGCATAAAGATGCCTAAGGTCAAGCTGCAATGTGGGAGAACAGGAAGGTGAGAAGGGAGCACCCAGGTAGAGGAACTGGCAGGGGAGGGACGGTGATGGGAGGCTTTGGGAGTGCCCACATCCAAGGGGCATCCAGAAAGAGCAGCTACAGTGCTGGTGGTGCTGCAGCAGGAGGAGGAGGCAGCAGGGCAGGAATGCCAGGGGGAGGGAGTGGCGAGTTACAGGTCCCTGCCCAGGCAAGGACGTGGCATCCTAGGTGGCAGCTGGGGCCAGCTGTGCAGAAGCTGTGCCTACCTTGTGGCCAGATGGGGAGAGAGGGCTAGGAAGGCACCAGGTCAGGGTTTCTAGGCACAGCCCAGCTTTCTTTGGTTCAGACTAGCTGTTGCACAGAGGGGCCAGAAGAGGTTGGGTGGGGTCGGTGCCCAGTCCGAGGGAAAATGCCAGGCATGGGTTCCGTGACTGTGGAGGAACGTGGTCGCTCTGGCCGCCCTTTGGGTGCCTCTTAAGGCAAATGCCAGGGCTCAGGGATGGTGCTGTGGGTACCTGGAAGAGGCAGGGCATCCAGAGGCGACCTCCTCCCAGCTCCCCAGGGTCCTGCCTGTGCTCTGGGGAAGCCCCTCGGTGGGCTCCTTATGCTGTTATCTTGTTAGTGGTCCTTCAGGGTGTTGGGTAGCCTCAGCACTGAAGAAGGCAGAGGCCAGGTCCTGGGCCTCCAGGAGCTGCTCACTAAGGGAACCTGGTCTCGTGTGGGTAGGCCATAGGGGGCCTGCCTCACCTCTGGGCTGTGGCTGTGGGGAGATTCTCTGCTGAGCTAGCACAGGTCTGTGAGGCACCTGGGGCAGTGGAGCATCACACCTGCTACAGGAGGCCAGTTGCAGGAATTGGTCTTTGAGCTGCTGCCTTGGATGTGGATAGCGTTAGCTCGCCTCTTGCCTGAAAGCAGGGCTTTTGAGGGAGGGTCAGGAAACTGACTGGCAATAACAGCACTGAGGTTAGGTGTGCGCCACACAGAAGGGAGAGGACCCACAGAGACGGTGGTTCCCAAGGGGGAGGGGAGAGAACTGGCCCATCAGTGTTGCTCTGCACACATCTGATCGAGTCTTTCTTACAGAGGGTACAAGTGTATGTAAGCATTGGTGTGGTTTCAACCGAAGACCTCTCACCTGGAAGGTGGGGCTGCCTCTGCCTCAGGTAGCATATGGGTACCAGTGACACTGTATAGGTTACAGTGTTGCTTTGCTCTGCTCATACCAGCTCTTAGCTGGGCACATGGTGGCTCATGCCTATAATTCCAAAAGAATTTCAGGAGGTCAAGGCAGGAGGACCAATGAAGGCCAGGAGTTCAAGACCAGCCTGAGTAAACATTGTGAAACCCTGTCTCTACAAAATATTTTAAAGTTAGTAGGCCGGGCGCGTGGTTTCACACCTGTAATCCCAACACTTTGGAGGCTGAGATTTGGTGGATCACCTTGAAGTTAGGAGTTCAAGACCAGCCTGGTCAACATGGGAGAAACCTAACTTACTAAAAATACAAAATTAGCCGGGCGTGGTGGTGGGCACCTGTAATCTCTGCTACTTGGGAGGCTGAGGGGGGAGAATCGCTTGAACCTGGGAGGTGGAGGTTGCAGTGAGCCGAGACTTTGCTACTGCACTCCAGCCTGGGCAACAGAGCAAAACCCCGTCTCAAAAAAAAAAAAAAAAAAAAAAGAAAAAGTTAGTTGAGCTGGTGGTGCATGCCTTAGTCCTGTAACTACTCTGAGACTGAGACAGGAGGCTACTGAGCCCAGGACAGAGATCTCTGCCTCTAAAATAAATAAACAAACAAACAAAAATAAACTTGCTGGCTCTGCCTGTGTGCTTTCTGTAGCCCCCAGTAGGAGCTTTCAGCCTCAGCCCGACTCCAGTCCTCAGCCTCTGATCTTGAAGAAGTATCCCTGGAACCAGTGCACCGCCCCGGGCCTTCATTTAGTACATGCAGAGGCGAGCGGTTAGGCAGAGAGAGACTGCGTGGCCCTGTGAGGCAATTGTGCCAGCCCCTGCAGCAGATAGCCGCTCTGTCTCTCCCTCCTGTTGGTTTCTGATGGTGCTCTCTAGAGCGGATGTGGATGAGCCTAGTGGATGGTTTTCAGGTCCCCAGTTCTGCCTCGCTCTGCCACTTGGGTGCTCTTTGGATATACTTCAGACCCATCCTGTTCTCCCAGCCATCCTGAAAAGGCCGGGCAGGAATGAGGCCTGGCTCCGGCTCAGGCTCAGTGAGACGGAGAACATGTCAGCACCATTTTCCAGTTTCGAATCCTCTTATGAACAAAATGCAGTAAAGTCAGACCTGTGTGGAGGCTGCAGGAAGGCAGGGGTGAGTGCCTGGGAAACCCTGGTCCTTGGGCTGCTCCATGAGCGTGGGCCCAGGAGTGATGGTCAGAGGCATCTCCATGGGGCACCAATGTTCAGAGTAAGGCTGTGGGGCCATGTCTGCCTGTGGGCAGGTGTGTGTGGAGGTCAGGGCTGGCTTGGGTATAAGTGTTTGACTCTGCTAATGCTTTTGCTTAGACTAGTTGTTCCTGAAACTGGTTTCCAAGAGATGCTCCTTACAAAAAAGGAGTTCTAGTTTCCATCGAGTTTCAGGAAATCCCAGGCTCTTCCTGGTGTCGGTGCTGAGACGGCAGGGGTGGCAGACACGGGGCAGAGGTGTGCTTCTGAGTATCACACTCGGCCTTCCTCTCCCAGTAGCCTCTTGTTGTCCCTGTCTTTTCTGGCCCTGGCTGTCCTCGCTGGAGCTCCTGCCCCCTCCATGCCATCTCTCTTGCCTCTGGCAAGCCCCACTCCTGGGTCTAGGTTAGTAAACACCCCTGCCCACCCTGCAGGCACTGCCCCAACCTCTGCCTGAGTGACAGGCAGAGTCCCCTCCTTCCCTTTGGGGTTCGTTTACCACCAGGATGTGAGATCCTGGCCGTTTCCTTTGGTTGTTTCCAGTGTGTAAAAGGTGCTTGGGTGCAAGTGGGAGCTTGGGACATGTGAATGAGCGATGTGGTGAATATGATTGAGGAGATAGCCAAGCTGGTTCCCGGGCAGCATCCGTCAGAGTGGCTGGTGAGCCCAGATGACCCTGCAGAGCCTATGGGCCATGGGGGAGGGAGTCATCTCACAGGCCTCTGTGGATCGTCACCTAGCCTATTGTCCTTTGTCAGCCAGGGCATGCTTCCTCCAGCTGGACACAGACTCAGCCTGAGTTTCACGTTTGTTATTTAGCATCCATTCAGGGGCCGCCTCGTGCCAGTCATACTGTTTTAGGGACTTGGGATAAGAGGAACAAAACATTGAAAATCTGGGCAGTCAAGTACTAGAAAGTCAGTTAGATCCTCCTCTTCCCGCAGAACTGCCAAGATGTGGATACAGAGGATGGAGTCTCACAATGCCCGCCAAGGCTGTCCCTACAGAGGCCGGCCATTCTCCTTTTCTCCACTACAGTGGTCAGGCACCACTGTGTGCCACTGAGTGATCATAAGGGGGCCTCTGAAGGGGCAGAGATCCTGGTGGGAACAGTGGCTGGCAGGCTGCTATAAGGCACTCTCCTGTGGTCTCTTTGTTCCGGATGGGAACTGGAGTGATGGACAGAGTGGAGAAGCAGCGCTTTGGCTGGTCTTCACCGTGAAATCGACCCTGGAAGCCCAACTCACCAAGAGACTATATCAGGACCCACGGCTGGGGTTGAAGTGTTGTGGTCAGGATGAAAGTTTTCAGCGGGCCTCGCTTGGGGAAGGAGTCTGAGCAGCCCAGACAGCGTTTCCTTGCCTTTCAGCTGTATGTTGCCAGGAAACTTCTAGGGCAGAGGCTATTCAACAAGCTCATGAAGATGACCTCTATGGGCATTTGCAGCCGGCGAGACCAGAGTCCATCCAGCCCCGCCTGGGCACAATATGGCCTCCTGCCCAACCCCAACCCTACTACCGTCCCATCTCGCCCAACCGAGGAGGCTTGCTTGGGAGCTTGGAGGAGGCGGGGAGGGGAGGGGAGGAGAGAGGAGGCAGGGAGGGTGCCAGAGAGCTTTCAGCCTAACTACCGACGCACCCTCCTGGGTTCTGCCTGGAGTTCTTGCATTTTTGTTTCACGTAGATGACCGCCTCTCAGCTGGGTGGGAGGCCTGGTGTGCGTGGAGGCTGAGGAAGCCGAGCACAGAATGGCCCTGGCCCTATCTAGGCCCACTCACCTGGAGGGGCACAGGCACCAGCATATGGACCAAGCACTCTTCAAAGAGTGGTTGGTCTTGGCTCGATCTCCTATGAGCCAGGACTGCTCCATGGCTGAGAGAAACATGTCTTGTTCTCTGTCCTGATGCCCAGGGAGGGCGTCCCGGTGGTACCAACTGGGCCCTCTCTACACTCACTGCCCAGGGAAGGGCTCTGTGTTGGGTTAGTGACCTCCAGGCCGGGCCGGCCACTCTGCTCCTGGCTTCAATTCCCTCTCCACTGACACAGGGAGGGCCAGGGTCTGAAGTTTCCCACACCTGCAGGCAGGCTGAGGCCAGGCAAGGGTCAGGGTGGGACCTGCCTGTAGGCCAGAATCCCTGCAGAAGAGACGCTGTAGCAGAGCCTCCTCCATCGGGTCAGGAAATGTTTGCAAAGAGCCAGGTGGCACAGACTCTCAGTCTTGGGCTAGACTCCTCCTGCTAATAGCGTTTACTCTGCCTCTCAGTAGAGCCATAGTAATTACAATTTATGTAATTTTCTTGTGTCACAAAAATACTATTCTTGTTTTGATTTCTTCAGTCATTTTTAAAAGTAGGGTCTTGCTGTGTTGCTCAGGCTGGAGTGCAGCCATGGTTCACTGCGGCCTCAACTCTTCCGGGCTCAAGTGATCCTCCCATCTGAGCTCCTAAGTAGCTGGGACTATAGGCATGCACCACCATATCTGGCTAATTAAAAAATTTTTGTAAAGATGAATCTCCTATGTCTCCTTAGTGTATTTGGGTCCCCTGCACCCAGACAGCAGCTGAGCCTGACCCACATGAGGCTTGGGATAATCTCTGTGGACCTTGTCAGGTCTTGTTTGCATGCCCCTCCCTGGTGGCTGGCCTGAGAAGGAGGGAAAGGTAGTCACATGAGGCCTCCAGCCCTGGGAACTGAATGTCTGTGCTTTGGCCTTAGCATGTCAGCTGCCAGTTGCCCGGAGAGAGAAGCCTAGCCTCTGCCTTGCGATTGGCTGTTTTGAAGGGTGGGGTGCTCCAGCCCCAGCACCCCACTGTGTTCAGCAGGCCCTGTGGGCCTCACAGCTGCCCGAGCCCTGGCTGCAACCTTGCTGAGCTGCCTGCTGGGAATAACCAATGGCCTGTGTGTTCTCAGAAGGAGTCTGGGTGGGGACTTGGTTTCACAATGGGGTTTTCTTCTCAGGCACCTCTGGTATGAAAAGACTCCTTTCCCAGGGTGGTCCTGCCTGGCTTCCCTCCTGCCCTGCAGGCTGTGTGTCTGGAGGTGGGCTGGCTCTGCACTCTGCCAGGAGCTGGGCACCCGTGCCCTTTAGGAGCCTGAGTCCCTCGCCCGGCAAGGGCTGCACCTCTTGCTGGTGGCTGTCTGCAGGGGCCCTGCTCTAGCTCTAGGAAGTGAACAGGGTTCTCCCTGTCCTCTGTGCCTTCATAGAGGGTCTGGGGATAGGCTGGGTCTGAAACACTGGTCTGATGTCCACACGGCAGCATGGCCTGCCTGGCCGGGAATGACTAGTTATAGACCTGGCAGGGAACTGCTGAAAGATCTGGTATCCCTAACCTACCTTCCTGTCAGCAGGGCCAAGTGGGCTCTACTCTGGGGAGAGACGCTGAGGCCACCGCCCCACATGAAGGCCATGGCGGGTGGTACTGGCCTAACTCGTGAGGCCCAGGAGGATGGAGGCGCTCTGAGGCATGGCAAGCGAGTCCCAGCAGTGCTCTGGAGCACAAAGGAGGAGGTGGGAGGCTGGAGGTGCAGGACAGCAGCGCCCACACAGAGGAGGGGTGGACCATGCTTCCAGAGGCCAGGGCCCCACCTGGATCCCCAGGAGAGAAGTCCCAGGATACCCTAAGCAGGCTGAGGTCTTAGGATGGGAAGGGGTCAAGCATCTCCTGACGATTGGGCTGAGGGACACCTAGCGGGTGGATGGGGCATCGGGTTGGGCTGTGCAGGCCCAGGGCTGGCTGGGAGGCGGGTCTGGGCCTTGGCCCCAGGCCGTGCTCACGGATATGTGTGCAGTGTGTCCTGAGTGAGGGGCCGAGGAGGCAGGGACTGGGGGAGCTGGGGAAGGGGGGTACAGGTAGGAAGGCTTCACAGGCTTCCTCCAGGGGAGAGTTGGGCAGGGCAGGGGCGTGGACCCCATGTGCTCTGGCTTGTTTCCAAACAGGCATCACGTCCCCAGGAATAAATACTCCAGAGCTGAGCTCGGTAGAGGCTGAAGGGTAGTCAGGTCTTCCTCTGCTGCTTCAGAAGACTTCTGGGGACTCGTGCTTGTCCTCCTGCCCCATGTCCCCTTGTTGCTCTTCCTTCTCTGTATCCCGGCCGTGCCCATGTGTGTGATCATGTGCCCTTCCATAGACTACGCCTCTGGGCATGATGAGGGGTGGGGCTGGGGGAGCATGGGTTGGGCGGGTCCCAGCTTTAAGCAGTCATTGGGATGTGGTCCCCACTCCTGATCAGGCCTCACATCCACCAGTTCACTCCTTCCTCCTCTAACACCCCACGGTTGCCAGTGCCACGTGCCCTCTTCCTGGGTGGTGCCTTGAGCGCTCCCAGGTGGGGAAAAGCCAGATTTCCCATGGCACCGGCAGTTCTGAATCAGCTGCTCTGAGGGTGTGTCTTCCTCCTCCAGTGGAAACAGACCTCTGACCTGCCTGGGAACCACCATCGAGCCCCTGTGACTAACCCATGATGCCTGTTGGAGAGTGTGGCCCTGTCTCGCTACGAGCTGTCCACTCCTGAGACCTGGCTGCCCTCCGGCCACTGCATGCTATGTGGTCATCTGGCTACTGTGCTTGGCTGTGGCCAGCCTGGTCTTGTGCCTGGAGGCCCATGGAGGGAAACAGGGGCAGCTCTGGTGTTCTGCCTCTGAGCGAAGCCAGAGCAGGGAGAGGGAGCGGCCCTGGCTTCCCAGCCTCCTGCCGGGCTCACTCGGAGGATGAACACAACAGCTGTGGAATGCTTAGCCGGAATCCCCGTCTGCCCGGGACCTGGTCAGATAACGATCCTGGTTTCATGCAGGCTGCAGGCTGCCCCACAGGCAGACACCTGTCTGGTTAAGGTCAGGTTATCCCAACTGTGGGCTGTGTGGTTTCAAGATGGGATCTTCTCATCAGGGTCATGGAGGCCCCTGAGGCCCCATCCTCACTGTCTGCTGTTCCTTGCCATGAGGGTTTCTACCCTGGCGGGGCCTCAGCTGCCGCCCCAGCCTTGGCAGAGTGAGTCCTCTGGAGATGGCTTTTGCCTGGTTGTACCCGAACCTCGGTGTGAAAGTCCTGGGACAGGCTGGGCGCTCGTGGCTCAAGCCTGTAATCCCAGCACTTTGGGAGGCTGAGACGGGCGGATCACGAGGTCAGGAGATCGAGACCATCCTGGCTAACACTGTGAAACCCTGTCTCGCCGGGTGCGGTGGCTCGGGGCCTGTAATCCCAGCACTTTGGGAGGCCGAGACGGGCGGATCACGAGGTCAGGAGGACGAGACCATCCTGCGAACACGGTGAAACCCCGTCTCTACTAAAAATACAAAAACTAGCCGAAGCGAGGCAGCTGGCGCCTGTAGTCCCAGCTACTCGGGAGGCTGAGGCAGGAGAATGGCGGGAACCCGGGAGGCGGAGCTTGCAGAGCTGCATCCGGCCACTGCACTCCAGGCCTGGCGACAGAGCGAGACTCTGTCTCAAAAAAAAAAAAAAAAAAACAAAGAAACTCCTGTCTCTACTAAAAAAATACAAAAAAACTAGCTGGGTGAGGTGGCAGGCGCCTGTAGTCCCAGCTACTCGGGAGGCTGAGGCAGGAGGAATGGCGTGAACCCGGGAGGCAGAGCTTGCAGTGAGCCGAGATCCGCTCCACTGCACTCCAGCCTGGGCGATACAGCGAGACTCACTCAAAAAAAAAAAAAAAAAAAAAAGAAAAAAAAAAGAAAGTCCTGGGACTGACCCTACGACTGGTCTTGAGGTCTCCTAGCTTGTAATCGGCTTCCTGCTACGTGCAGGGGTCATGTGCTGCCTGCCTGTTCCCTTAGTCAGCAAGATGACATTCCACCTTCTTCTGTCAAGATCTGTCAGCACAAGGCGGCCAGCGCATGTCTGCCGGGGCTCCCACCTCTAGGCTGCAGCCTTAGAGGACCTGGAGGCACATGAGGAGTCCCTGGCCCATGTGGGGCAGCCCAGGAGCGGGTGGGAGTGGGAAGGCTCTCCTGGTGGGGGCTCCTGGCCCAGGGTTTGCTCCCTCGAGCAGGTGGAAGGTGGCAGGCAGCTGAGGCCCTTGATGTAGAGGCCTGTGGGATGCGGCTCACTGACCACTGCTCTGCCTTTACCCTTCCTGCACCCGAGGGGCACCCTGTCCTCTCCTGTGAGTGTGACAGAGCTGCCCCCCCGAGGGTCCGGTGCCGCCTGGGGAGCTTCAGGAAGGCTCTGGATGCTGTTGGTCATGCAGCCAACCTCTCCCTGCAGGTGGTCACTGACTTAATCAGGCTTTGAATATAAAGCCAGATGACCACAGAGCTGCCCCCGGGCCAGGAGAGACCATCGTCACTCTGTCACAGTAGACTTACAGCCACAGCAACTTTACAGCTTCCTAATGACACAGCACTCAAACCACGTGCCAGGAAGCAGACTGTGTGTAAGGAGGAGGAAGAGGAGGGTGTCGCAGTGGCTCTGCAGGGGTGCAGGGCTGGTGGGGGAGGGGAGCCACGACTCTAGAGGACGGAGGGGCCAGTGGGAATGGGGGGTGCGGCCAGACGGGGATGGAGAGGCACCCAGGAAGACAGGGGCTTGGCTGGGCAGAGTGTGGCCAGCCTAGCGGGGGACAGCCAGCATCCTGGCCTCACTGGTCTTGGAGGTTCATGCCAGGGGCCCGGATTTTGGGTATTCCTGGGAAATGATGGGAACTCGGAGCGGGTGGCATTAAACAAGATGAGATGGTAAGATCTGCTTACCTTTAAAGGAACATTTCTGGTTGTTGCTTGGAAAGAAGTGTCAGGGGCAAGAATGCTACAGGAGAGCCGGCCTGGAGGACAGGCGGACTGCGGGCTGGCTGTGTGGGGCAGGAGCCTGCACTTGCATCAGTGCCTGGGAGACTCGGTTCTGGGACAGAGGCCTGAGTAAGGGGGCCTCTGCTGGGGATTTAGGATCTGTGTGCTGGTGCCCTTCCCGCCTCCAGTTCCTCTCAGCCTTACTTGGAACCAGGTCATCACTTTTATTCAAGAACTTGGCTGCAAGGCCTGGCTGGGTTCTGGAGAACTCAGGCAGGTCGTTCTGATTTCTCCACCCACAAGGAGCTCTGGGCTTCCTGAGCCCTGGGACACAACAGCCCCACAAAGTGCTGCCCCTCCCAGGCCCAGGTGTTTCCCAGGCTGGGGCAGGCTGGGGCTGCACCTGGAATCTACCCTCCACCGGCTGTGGTGGGGCCCTGTGCAGCCTCAGTGGGAACTTGGCCTGTCACCTGAGGCCCAGGTGTGAATGACCTTTAGCCTTCCCCTCCTTCCCACAGGTCCTGCACCCAGCTGTGAGAGGATGGCAGCGGTGGCACAGGCCGCACGTGAACAGACGCCTCCCCACCCACGCACTCTGGTTTCTAGGAGAGTCTAGGCTGGAGCACAAGTGGGCCTTGGGGTGATGTCAGAGTCCGGGATCCTCCCTATGTCCAGGGCCCTTCCTGTGTCCGGGGCACCTGCTCTGTCGCTCTGGGCTCTGACATACTCGCAAGCGTCTGGGGAAAGAGATTCCTTGCTGCTTTTTGATGGCTTCCCTGTGGACTCCAGGCTTTAAGTTGAGGAGGCTCTGCTGTCCTGGCCTCATGAGGAGGTTTAGCCAGGGGGATGCTGCACTCCAGGTAAAGAGCTGCAGTGCAGACAGGGTTTGGGGATGTGGAACTATGGGGCAGCACAGTGCCCGCCAGGCTGGCATGGCCACTACGCTGGAGCCTCCTGAGGGCAGGGGTCCTGGGGCCTTGGGCATGTGGGCGCTGGGAGTGGGTGCTGGAGCTGTGCTCAGGCTGCAGGCGCTCACCATTCCAGGACAAATAAGCGAGATAAGCAATACCAGGCTCACCGGGCCTTCGGGGACCGCAGGAGTGGCGTCATCAGTGCCCGCACCTACTTCTATGCCAACGAGGCCAAGTGCGACAGCCACATGGAGACATTCTTGCGCTGCATCGAAGCCTCAGGTGGGGCCCTCTTGCTGGGGCCATACCTCAGGGGCCATGTCCCAGCCTGAGTGGACCCCGGCTCATGGCTGGTGGGTGAACGCCGGGCTGGGGCAGGAGCCAGAGGGCTGGGTTCTGGTCACACTTGGGTGCCTCACTGCCCGGCCTCACCCGTGGGTCCCACTGCTCCCAGAAGGCATCTCCCTGCCCCACCCCCAGCCCTGCCTCGATCCCACCTCATGCCCCCACCCTCTCCCTGGCTCAGGCCAGGACCAGGAGCCGCATAGTTGGTCCATGTCAGGCTGCCGAGCTACCCTTAGCCCAGGATGGAGGTTCCGCTCAGGAGCTGGTGCGATCTTCTGCCTGGGAATCCTCCCTGACACAGCCTCTGGGGGCTAGAGATGGCGGAAGCAGGTGCTTCCCAGGGCCGCGGAGCCGGAGGAACCAAAGCCCAGTGTCCCTTCAGTGTTAGAAATATCTGACCCTGCACAGCCCCATGCTACCCAGCAGCCTCCGTCAGGGGCAGCAGCTCCAGGCCTGTTTATGTTTTTGTTTGTTTGTTTCCAAATGGAGATTCTGGGTCTTGCCTGTTGCTCACGCTGGAGTGCAGTGGTGTGATCATAGCTCACTGCAGCCTAGACCTCCTGGGCTCAAGCCATCCTCCCACCTCAGCCTCTTGAGTAACTGGGTCTACAGGCACGCCGCCGCTACCGCTGCTTTTGCTTTGTTATTATTTGTGTAAAGAGGAGGCCCTACACCCAGGCACGGTGGCTCACGCCTGTAATCCCAGTACTTTGGGAGGCCAAGGTGGGTGGATTGCCCGAGGTCAGGAGTTAAAGACTAGCCTGGCAACATGGGGAAACTCTGTCTCTACTAAAAATACAAAACATTAGCCAGGAATGGCAGCAGGTGCCTGTAATCCCAGCTACTTGGGAGGCTGAGACAGGAGAATCACTTGAATCCAGGCCAGAGGTTATACGAGATTGGGCCACTGCGCTCCAGCCTGGGCGACAGAGTGACTCCATCTCAAAAAAAAAAAAAAAAAAACAAGAGAGATCTCACTATGTTGCCCTGGCTAGCCTGGAACTCCTCCTGGCCTTAAGTGATCCCCCCACCTTGGCCTCCCAAAGTGCTGGGACATGACAGCACACTACCACACATCCAGCTAATTTTCATATTTTCATACCTTGAGACTAGCCATGTTGCCCAGGCTAGTCTCAAACTCCTGGGCTCAAGTGAACCTTCCACTTGGGCCTCCCAAAGTGCTGGGATTACAGGTGCATACCACTGCACCTGGCCCTTCCGAGCAGTGTTTGGAAGCCGCTCCATCAGCTGGGGTTCAGAGGCCAACTGGAATGCTGGGCCATCAGGGTGAGGGGCGCCTTCTCACCCATTGCCTGTTCTCCTGGGGGCAGATGAAGGGGAAGGCCCCTGCATTGGGGTGACATTAAACAAGATGAGATGTAAGATCTGCTTTCACTTTAGCGAACATTTCTGGTTGCTGCTTGGAAAGAAATGTCGGGGGAAGAATGTTGCAGGAGTGGTCAGGCCTGGAGGACCGGGTGGGATCATGTGGCTGGCTCTGTGGGGCAGGAACATCAGAGGTGCCTGGGAGATCCTGGCTCTGGGGCAGAGGTGTGAGCAAGGGGGCCTCGCTGGGGTGTCTCTGTCTTAGCCATGCTCGGTGTTTCTGGATCCTGTGACCCACGGGGTGAGTGCCTGTGGTGCTGGTGGCACAGGGAGGAAACTGAGGCAGAGAGCCTGTGGGGCTAAGCCAGGACAGGCCCTGTGCCCACTGCCAACCCGCACCTGCATGGCAAATACCAGAACCCCGCCACGGAGCCTCTTCATCTTCTGTACAGGGACTTCTAGAGAGCCATGTGTGGGACTTCCATGGGTGGGGTGGGGGTGGGGTCAGAGCCTGCTGTAGGCTGAGGAGGTCCCAGCCCTCCCTGTCCCACCCTGCACTGCCTCCGTGCACCTCTCAGGGCCGTCACGGCTTTTCCTGTGGCTTCTGACAGGTAGAGCTGTGCGACATGTTTGCTAGCCATTAAGCTCACGGCACTGGGGAGACCCCAGTTTCTGGTAAGTGCTAGAACCTTCCACCTGCAGAGTCTGGTGCCAAAGTAGTCCTCAGGCAGCTGTGGGCATCCACTGAAAGCACAGGTGCCTGTGCCTTAGAGGCCTGAGCTGGCCACAGGGGCTGGGTGGGGATCAAAGGTGGCAGGGCATGTGCAGAGCGTGGCATTCAGGCCTGTGGCAGTTTGCAGGCTGCAGTTCCTCAGAGGTGCTGACCAAGTGGAGACGCTTCTTTCACCAAATGGCTGCGGAGCAAGGGCAGGCGGGCCTGGCTGGGCGGACACTCAAGCTGGAGGGTGGTCACACAGTAGGTGGGGCAGCTCTCCCCTCCCCCACTCCCGGGCTTTCAGGTGGGGTGGGCACCGGTGGAAGCACAGGGGCATGGTGGGCAGTGGTCTGAGGTGGTTTGGGACCTCATCCAGGGCATGGCTCACCCTGCAGCTGCTGGGGGTTGGCCTCAGGGAGGAGGAAGTCGGAGGGACGCTGAACAGAGTGGGGAGATGCTGGTGGGAGGGCTGGGGACCAGCCCTGCAGGGCATGGGCGAGCATCAGCAGCGCGGTGGGAGTAGACCTGTCCATCCAGTAGAAACAAACCAGAAATGGATCCCGTTCTCGCTAATGATGTAATAAAGCCAGAAACAGCACCAGAGGCCAATGGGTGGGGGAAGGATAAAATGTGAACGAATGGGGCTGATCCAGGCCTTCTCACTTTTCAAGGAAAGTGTTGCAAAGATGGGCATCGCATCCAGGGCTGAGATTGAGGACTGGTTCACGGCGGAGACCCTGGGAGTGTCTGGGTGAGAACAGCCCCCAGGCTGAGAGGACACGAGCATCAGCCATGGTTCCAGCCAAGCCCCAGCGGCGTCTCCCAGTCCTGGCTGCCCTGCCTGAGAGGGTGGGCCTTGGGATGACAGTGCTGAAGGAGCTGCTTTTCACACAGCAGGACTTGATGACCTCAGGTCCCTGAGGCCCCCATAGAGGGCTCTTTATAGAATTATCTGGGTCCAGAGCAAAGGTGGCACTCTCAGGTCCCCTGGAGCCCACGCTGGCAGGTGAAGGATCAGAGCCCCACGCCCCATCCTTGGGGTCAGGGGCTGGGACCGAGGTCACCAGGAGCCCCCAGTTGAAGTGGGGAGGTGACTGGGGTGGTGCAGTAGTGAGCCGTCCCCTCACATACTGGCAGCCTTGCCCACTGTGTCCTGCCTGGCCCCCGGAGCTGTGTCCACCTCCTGCCTGGCTGCCTATGCTCGGCCCCTCCACAAGCCCAAAACAGTCCTAGGGTATTCAGTGTTTTCAGAGCCGCCTAGATACAGGACTGTTTGTGTTTTGGTTTTAAATTACTTTAATTAATTAATTTTTTATGGAGACCAGGTCTCACCATGTTGCCCAGGCTGGTTTCAAACTCCTGGGCTCAAGTGACCTGCCCACCGTAGCCTCCCAAAGTGCTGGGATTACAAGTTTGAGCCACTGCACGCCACTGGTTTTAAATTTTTAAACAGAGAACAGTATTTACATTTTCTCTGTCTTTTTTTTTTTTCCCCCCCGAGACAGAGTCTCACTCTGTCACCCAGGCTGGAGTGCAGTGGCGCGATCTCTGCTCACTGCGAGCTCTGCCTCCTGGGTTCATGCCATTCTCCTGCCTCAGCCTTCTCTGTCCTTTAAAACTGCACACCGAGGTGGGTTTTGTGGTGGTTGGTGAACGGACAGGTTTGGGCCTGGATCCCCCACCCAACCCCAGCACCCACAGGTGGGGTCGCCCCTCTGCTGATGCGCCTCCTCCCTCAGCACCGTGGACCTGCTGGACTGGGGCAGCCTCATCGACAGCAGGACCAAGCTCTCCAAGCACCTGGTGGTCCCCAACGCACAGGTAACACCTCCGCTCCTCGGTGAGGCCCCGCTCAGCAGGGCGCTGGGCTGAGAAGGGAGTTCAGCCTGCCACGCGTGTCTCTGGTTGCCCACCCTGGGAACTTAACATGACCAAGATCACTGCACACTATGGCCCCACAGACCCCCTATGGTCCAGGGGGAAGGAGACAAACCCACACATGTCCACAGAGTGCTTGGTGGGACAGAGACCCACGCAGAGCCTTAAGACACCACAAGGAGAGGGGTTCTGGGGGCCTTCCCCAAGTCATCTGTCTTTTGCATCAGGTCACCCCAAACTTCAGAGGCCTGAAATGCAGCAGTCGGCCGGGCGCGGTGGCTCAAGCCTGTAATCCCAGTACTTTGGGAGGCCGAGACGGGCGGATCACGAGGTCAGGAGATCGAGACCATCCTGGCTAACCCCGTGAAACCCCGTCTCTACTAAAAAAATACAAAAAAAAAAACTAGCCGGGCGTGGTGGCGGGCGCCTGCAGTCCCAGCTACTCAGGAGGCTGAGGCAGGAGAATGGTGTAAACCTGGGAGGCGGAGCTTGCAGTGAGCTGAGATCCGGCCGCTGCACTCCAGCCTGGGTGACAGAATGAGACTCCGTCTCAAAAAAAAAAAAAAATGCAGCAGTCACTCTGCTTCTCCCTCATGGTTCTGGGGTTGATGGGGCTCAGCCGGGCAGTCCTCCCTTGGGGTCTCCTGGGTAGCTGTGCTCACAGAGTGGTGGGCTGGGACCTGGTGGAGGCGCCCACTCGCATGTCTGGAAGTTGGTGCTGGCTGTGGCTTGGGCTTTTTCCCAACACGGCAGCTGGGCTCTAAGGGCCAGTGTCCCCTGAGACGTGAGAGCCAGGCAGAAGCTGGGTGACCTTTTCCTGCCTCGCCTCAAAAGTCACACGGTGTCTTTTCTGCCGAGTTCTGTGTGTTAGAAGCATGTCACCAGGCCAGCCTGTGTACAGCGGGGAGAGGAATGAGACTCATCTGGCTGTGGGAGGGGGGCCCAGGACCTGGCAGAATGCTTGAAACCACAGCCTAAGCTGGGATTCGAAGAAAGAACAGAAGCACCTTCAGAAAACATGCTGCAGAGGCAGCTTTTCCGTGACACATCCAGCCCCAGTCCACTGAGGGCCCAGCCTCAAACTTAGAGACCTCGACCCAGAGCCTCGGGGCGCAGTGTGTACAGAGCGGCTGTGCACCAAGGCCACCTGCTGGAGACTTTAGCATGGTGTAGCAAGGGCTAGAGCGGTACTGTGTGTGCTCAGTGAGGCAAGGCTGCTGGGGCAGCAAAGGGGTGAGCGGGAGGCCCTGCAGGATGGGTCCCCATGGCCTCTGAGCACCAGCTCCTTGAAGGCCTCATCCTGGAGGTTGCCCTGGTCCCCAACCATGTGTCAGCATGTGCTGCATGACCGCCCTGTCAGCCTGTAGCCAGGGTTTCCTCCTCCTGGGTCCTCTCCCTGCTCCAGGCGGAGCCTTCTATTTGACGATTGGGTGGTCAGTGTTCACTTCCTCAGTATCACATGGGAGCTGCAGGGGGCCCTCCCACAACAGTGGGGCCTCTGTGGGAACTGGGGAGGCTGTGAGAGTACACACGTTGGGGTGCAGGCCTGGACTGAGCCTGGGGCCCACTGACATGGCCAATGAGCTCCCTCATGGTGCCACCAGGCCCCACGTAGGGCAGTGCACTGGCTGCGTGTTGCTGTGTCCAGGTGGCCCTCCCGGCCCTGCGTGGGCGGGTCAGAGGGTTCCCGTGGGCTGGGAACACTGAGAAAGGGTTAGCCTGGGCCTCAGGGTGGCACTTTTCAGCCCTCGCTTGTGGCCTGACCGTGTGCTGCACCCCCAGACAGGACAGCTGGAGCCCCTGCTGTCCCGGTTCACTGAGGAGGAGGAGCTACAGATGACGAGGATGCTACAGCGGATGGATGTCCTGGCCAAGGTGAGCTGCCCTGCTCGGGCAGAGGGCTGGGGCCTTGGGGACCTGGGACTGGTGCAGAAGAGGGCACCTGCCTCACCTGAGCAACAGTTGCTCCCACTGCCCCTCCCTCTGCACCTCTCAGAAAGCCACAGAGGTGGGCGTGCGGCTGATGGTGGACGCCGAGCAGACCTACTTCCAGCCGGCCATTAGCCGCCTGACGCTGGAGATGCAGCGCAAGTTCAATGTGGAGAAGCCGCTCATCTTCAACACGTACCAGTGCTACCTCAAGGCAAGCTCCCCGCTCAGCCCCTCCCTGCCTGCCTTGGGGCTTGGAGACCCCACAGGAGGGGCTCCTCTCATCTGAGCTCCCTGGCATTTGCCTGGCTCTACACTCAGCACCCGCCAGGGAGCTCACAGGATGGAGGAGGGAGTGGGCCGTGCCCCCAAGGGATTGCTGGGGTCTTCTGCAGCACAGCTCACCCAGGGCGGGCCCCAGGGTCCAGAAAAGAGCCCCTTAGGTGGTGGCCACAGCCAGGCCTGCAGAGGAGGCCGAGGCCGGGTGACTGCCTCAGAGTAGGAAGAAGGGCCCGCTGCCCGCAGCCTCTCCTGTGGTTCTCGGAACCCGCCAAGTGTCTAAGGAGCAGGAGGAAGACAGCGATCTCTGAGGGTCCACTAGATGTGCCCAACGCCCCAAACGTGGAAGGTGCCACACGACCATTTCCTCCTGCGTGTTTCAGTTCAATGCCCCTAAAAACCGGATGAAAGCTTTGGGCCCTCTCCGGAAACACTCACCCAGGATGTCACGTGTATTCAGGGAGCCCACCCCAGCCTGTGGGCCCCAAACTGCTCAGGGATGTTAACAGGTTCAGAGCTCTCAGGGGTGAGCCGGGTGCCCGGAGGACACAGGGTGGCATGGGGAGGGGTCCAGGCAGGAGCCTGAAGTAGGCACCCGTCCCCCAGTCAGCCTGGGAGTCTAGGGCATATGATGGCTGCTGGTGCCTGGGCTGCCCCCACAGAGCTGTCCACGGGCCACACAGGAGTCTGCAGACATCCCCATTGCCATTGCTCCTTGGGGACAGAGGTTGGAGGCCCATCCTCACCCACACGTGCTCCAGGTGCCCTGAGCTGCACCTCCCCAGGCAGCTGCTGCCCAGCCCTGGTGACTGCACCTGGGCCCAGGAAGGCCCCATCCTGCTGTCACTTGGGCTTGCCCAGGTTCCCTGTGACTTTTGGCCCTGGCCCCACAGGATGCCTATGACAATGTGACCCTGGGCGTGGAGCTGGCTCGCCGTGAGTGCTGGTGTTTTGGGGCCAAGCTGGTGCGGGGCGCATACCTGGCCCAGGAGCGAGCCCGTGCGGCAGAGATCGGCTATGAGGACCCCATCAACCCCACGTACGAGGCCACCAACGCCATGTACCACAGGTGCGCAGCTCTCCCGCACCTCCATCTTCCCAGGGCAGGGCGTCAAGAAACTGAGCCTGAGGGAGAGGCTTGGAGACTGACCCTGTCCCACCCTGCTGGGGCCAGAAGACACCAGCAGGAGTGGCAGCCTCATATGTCCCCAGGTCAGAACTGGTATTTCCTCTGCTTTTGTGTCATGTGTTGCTTTTTCAAAAACATTAAGGTTATTCTTTTACAAATATAGAAAAGCCCATTGAACAAAGCAAAATAGGCCACAGTTCCCTGAGCCGGCTCCTGCAGACACTTAGATCCAGAGATGTGCACGAGCACCCGGCCCTCCCCGCCCCGCAGGCTCAGCCTGTTTGCTTTTCAGTTCACACAGTGGGATCGCCCATCAGCTGTTCTGCACCTGCTTTTACTGCTCTAGTTTCCTGGTGATCTTTTCATGTAGCACAGGCTGGCCAGCCATGGGCTTTTCCTCTTAGAGGCGTGTGTGCTGCAAATTCAGAGACCCCAGGTGTCTCCTGGTTGGCTGCAACTCCCCTCCTGCTGCCGCCGTGCCCCTCGTGCCGCAGTGCACACATCTCCGCCATTGTTGTTTGCGTTGTAGTGTGTTCTCTGCCCAATGTGCTTTTCATTTCGCGTTCCATCTGGGTCCCCTTGTGTGGGCTTGCAGAGTGGCGCTGTTACCAGCCAGCACGGGGTGCCCGGGGCTGTGTGTCTGGTATCTTTGATCTTACTGGGTTCAGTCTGCTTATTGTAACAGGGACTCGCTGGACACACCGTCACCCTCTGTGGTACACATGGGCCATCAGGGGTTTTGTGTCTGAGGACGCAGCCGTCCTAGGTTCCGGGAAATGGAATTGCTGGTCAGAGAGAATGTGCGCATGGTCAAGGCTGCTGTGTCCTCGCTGCAGGAGGGCGGTACTGCTCGGGCTTCCTGGTGCACCGGGATGCCCACCCCCACTGTGCCCTACAGGGACCTGCTTCCCTCTTATTTCCTTGCAGGGCCGGGGGGCATTGTAGGATCCCTCCCCAGAAGCAAAGCTGTGTCTGTCATGAGGCTCACGGCCATGTTTGGGCTGGTCCCCAGCGTCACGGCACGTTCGATGCAGGGACGCTGCACCCCAGCTGGTTCTGTGTGAATTGTCTGGTCCCAGACATCGCTCACTTCTTCTTGGTTGCTGGTCTTTCTTTTTCATGAGGTGCTGGGAGGGGCAGATGCTGCTTCTGTTCCTCCTGATCCTGTGGGATCCTGTGGACACCCTTGGAAAGAGCCAGCTCACTGGATGGCCCTGGGCCTGCCCTCGGCCTCCTCTCTGTGCGCTGGTAATGAGAGGCGCAGGCGACCACAGGCTGGAACTGGGCTCACATGGCACTCTCCACAGGTGCCTGGACTACGTGCTGGAGGAGCTGAAGCACAACGCCAAGGCCAAGGTGATGGTGGCCTCCCACAATGAGGACACAGTGCGCTTCACACTGCGCAGGTAGGTGCGCCCCACCCTGCACCGTCACCCCACCCGAGCCGTTGGCTCCTCTGGTTGGGGAGAGGTGGCAGCAGTGCAGAGCTCAGGGTGGGCAGAGCAACCTGCTGGGTGCAGGCGGGCAGTTGTGGGGAAAGGTTGGTGAAAGGAGCTGGAGGGCAGCTTCAGTGCCCTGCAGGCCTGGTCTGCCGGCGTTCTGGACGTCGGACTGTGAGAGCACCAAGGTTCTTTGCAGTTATGTTGGTTTTTTAAATTAACATCTTTTTTTGAAATAGAATCTCGCTCTGTCACCTCGGCTGGAGTGCAGTGGCGTGGTCTCGGCTCACTGCAACCTCCACCTCCCAAGTTCAAGCAATTCCTTATGCCTCAGCCTCCCAAGTGGCTGGGATTACAGGTGTGCACCACCATGCCTGGCTAATTTTTTCTATTTTTAGCAGAGACAGGGTTTCACTATGTTGGTCTCAAACTCCTGGCCTCAAGTGATCCTCCCTTCTTGGCCTCCCAAAGTGCTGGGATTACAAGTGTCAGCCACTGTACCCAGACTTTAAAAAATTAACATCTGACTTATTAAACTTCCAAAGTAAAAACCTAAGTTTCATTAGGGGATTCGGAAGGCTCCTGAAAGGTACAGATGCAGTGCTGGAGCCCAGTCCCTCAGGAGGCCTCCACAGCGCCGCCTCATTTATAAGCAGTTCCCTTAACATTTGAACTACATCTGGAATGTAACGGTCTGTTTTCCATTTAAACATGTGTCCCATGGAGCACAACTTTGGTAGAATTCTAACAAGTCAAATGCAGCAGTTAGGTGAAGTCAGTTCTTGGATATTCCAGTACTGTCACCCCGGTCTTATCTCATGCCTTAGCCCAAGCCATGCACACAATGGGGTCCTAGGTCCCCCGCCCCTCCCAGATTCTGCTTTCCCAGGGATGGGACCCCTAGAACCCTCGGGGGCCTGGGCAGTGGCCTCGCTGGCTCTCACCTTCCTAGGAGCTGAGCAGGGGCTCCACTCCACAGCAGGGCAGGGTGTTCCAGATCCAGGGCTTGTGGCACGAGGGGGCTCCCCAAGGAGCTGTGAAGCCACAGGGCCAGGCTTGGGGCCAGGGCTGCAGCCAACAGGACACATCCTGGTGCTGCTCGGGGAGCTGACTCACGGCTCTGAAATCATTCAGTTATGTCCACATTCGGCCTTTGTTCACGATGCTGCTGCTTTTTCATGGCCTGAAATCGCAGCACACCCGCTTTTGTGCCCTGACCCTCTGCTAATTGTCACAGATGTGTCGGTGATGGGACAGACTCACTTTCTCCACACGCACAGCAGGAGCCGGCACTCGGGAGCTGGTGGGTCCTCTCAGCTTGTAATGAGGACTCCCGGCCTCTGGGTGGACTCTCAATGCTGGTGGGCTCACAGCCTGACTAGACACATCACCATCCAACTCCAAAAGGACAGCCTGCCCTCAGCAGGGCTTCCTCTCTCCAGCTTCCCCCCGGCACCTGTGTGTCCCCACTGTCTTGCTGTGGCAGTGGCTTCCCCACTGGACAGAGCTTCCCCCTCCCCTGAGTGGCAGCCGGGCTCTCTCCTCATGGCCCTAAGGGCCCTGTGCCAGGTTCCCCCAATGCCATGCTCACAACCCCGCCTGAGGCTGGACCCCTGCAGGCTTCAGCTCTGTGCCCCTGCTGTGGGTGGCTGGGGAGCTCTGGGGAGCTGGGGTCCCCTCCCCTGAGTGCTTCTAGACTATGGCAGCTGCTGTGTCCTATGCCGGGCCCAGACTGCCACACCACCCACCCTCAAACAACCCGAGTTGGCTTTGGCCGAGGAACCAACCAGCCCCAAACTTAGAGGCTGAAGCAGTGGCATGTTCTGTAGGCCTGGACGGGCTGGCTCAGCTGGTGCTTCTGCTGCTGGCCGTGCCTGTGTCCCTCCTGCGTCTGTGATCTGGGGCCGGTGGGGCCTAATGAGTTCATTCATGGCTGGGGCAGTAAAGGAGGCTGTACCCAGGTCCAGTGTCTCACACGCCAGCCCAGGCTTGGGCATGTGGTGGGCTCAGGCTTCCAGAAGGCCTGTAGAGGGCAAGCCTCTGCTTGTGTCACCTTTGGTACCTCCCTGTTGGCCAAAGTGCCTCATGAGGCCAAGCCCAGATGCCAGGCAGAGTGAGCTGCTGCCCTGCACTGGGAGGAGCTGCAGTCACATGGCAGAGGCCGTGCACACCACAGGGGAGGGGGCAGCCAGCAGTGGCAGCCCGGCTCTCGGGTTCTTGTCCTGGGGTTGAGGGAGACATACGATGGAGACCAGGGCGATGTGGCAGAGATGGGTGCCTGCTTTAGACTGGGTGGTCCCGACACTGGAGCCCAGCCCAGGGATGGAGGGAAAGGGCCTCTGGCTGATGGGTACTCTGGGAGCCAGGGCTGGGGCGGGTGGAGAACAGGGGAGGGGAGGGAGTGGGAAGCACAGCACAGGCCCCGCCAGTCACCCAGGTGATGTGTGAGGAGCAGGCAGAACTCGGCCCAGGGTGGGGGCCCCAGTGCTGTGCAGACCGGCTAAGTCAGGATACCTGGATATAGGAAGCTGGAGATGAAACGTGAGAACTGTCACTGCATGGATATTTCAAACCCTGAGAATCTTTGTAAGACCCTGTCAGGGGTGGTGTGAAGACAGGACAGAGTTGAGGGCCCCACCCCAATATCTGAGCAGTGCTAAGATATATAATACAAGCCACATCTGTAAAATTCTTTAGTAGCCACATTAAAAAAGAAAATGAATTTCAAGAATATATTTTAATGAACCCAAAATATACAAAATATTACTTCAAATCGTATTCCAGCTGCTTTTAGAAAAGCAACGCGGCATTGAGCATTATGTTTCTACAAAGTCTCCTAAATCCCATGTGTATGTGACACGTGCAGCACATCTCGGTTCAGAGCAGCCGCCTTCCGAGGACTCGGGGGCTGGTGGCAGCTGTGTGGGACAGAGCAGCTGTGGGGATAGGGCAGAGGAGCAGCCCACAGAGGGCGACGGCAGGGCCGGAGACCAGTCATACCACAGAACCCTGGAGGGGCTTGAGGAAGGGATGGCAGGAGAGTGGAGGAGCTTCCCTGCCCTGTGGGGCAGGCTGCTGGGTGGGTCAGGGCCCCAGGAAGGGCCGCACCTCCAGGAAGGGAGGTAGAGGAGAGGTGGCAGAGGGGAGGGTGGGGCAAGCAGGAGGAGGACCTTGTTGGCTAAGGGCTGAGGCCTCCCCAGGGAGAAGAGTAGGGCAGCCCAGCAGAGTCCTGCTGGAAAGAGGCCTCACTGGGGCAGGGCCGGGCAGAGCCCATACCCCAGCCCCACCTTGCAGGGGATGAAGTCTGGAGAGTGTCGATGGGGGATCTGGGGTAGTAGGACGGGCTCAGAGCTGGGACAGGAGCCTTGTACCCCTGCACCGGGACAGTGTCCTGGAGCTGGCCCTCAGCTCCTGGCTCCACTTGCATAGGATGGAGGAGCTGTGCCTGCATCCCGCTGACCACCAGGTGTACTTTGGACAGCTGCTAGGCATGTGTGACCAGATCAGCTTCCCACTGGGTGAGTGGGGCCCTCCCTGGTGTGATGGGGTGCGGTGCTGGGCCTGGACCTCATGGTGTATCTGCCCCCTTGCAGGCCAGGCCGGCTACCCCGTGTACAAGTACGTGCCCTACGGCCCTGTGATGGAGGTGCTGCCCTACTTGTCCCGCCGCGCCCTGGAGAACAGCAGCCTCATGAAGGGCGCCCGTCGGGAGCGGCAGCTGCTGTGGCTGGAGCTCTTGCGGCGGCTCCGAACTGGCAACCTCTTCGGTCGCCCTGCCTAGCACCCGCCAGCCCACCCTCGGCCTCCAGGCCCCCCCACCCCCACCCCAGGCTGTCACCACAGTTGTAACCAACCCCATCCTCACATAGACTCACCTTTTTTCACTCCACACTTGCAGAGCTGCTGGAGGTGGGGTCAGGTGCCTCCCAGCCCTGCCCAGGGTCTGGGCACTCAGGTGTGGGCCGAACCTGCTACCTGCCTGGGATAGCTGCAGGGAACGGTTGGGAACTCTCCCCGGATGTGTGGGCCCAAGGCCCCCACCTCTGTGACCCCCATGTCCTTGGGCCTAGAGGATTGTCCGCCTTCTGCCAGGGCCAGCCCACACACCCGAGCCCCTCGGGGAGCAGAGGCGGGGCTGGGGAGGCCCTGCCTGGTCAATAAACCACTGTTCTGCAGCTGACAGCCCTTGCCCTCACACTGGGTCAGCTCTGGGCAGCAAAGAGGGAGTGGCTCAGACAGGGTCAGAGAAGTCGCACCCCAGACTCTGGCTTCCAGCATCATCTGCTCCTGGAGGCCAGGCCCTGCGCAGACCTGGACACCCCCAACCCTGACTCCACAAGGACCCAGCAGGGCCCATGGGCCCAGGCCAGCACGGAGGGGACTCATGCAGAGGCCAAGTTCTCTACGTGGGCCTGGCACGCCTTCCCCCGGGGCTCCTCCTCAGGCCATTCCTGCTGCCCTGAGTCCTCTACCCCAGTGACCTGCATCAGGCGCCTCCTAGTGGTTCCCATAGGACACTGACCAGGCTGCGGCAGGCGCACACTGCACCCCGGGCCTTCTCCCACGCTCTCCAGCCCCAGCCCCACGAAGCAGGCTGGGTGTGGTCCGCATGCCCTGGGGCTTGGATGGGGGCCCCGTGCAGATGGCAGTGACGGCATCCTGGGACCAGGAAAGGCTGGAGGGTCCCAGTCTCCGTGCAGGGGGAGGGGTGGTGGGCTGGGCACACAGCCCAGGAAGGGACCCCCAGGCAGAGGCCTCTGCTGCAGCAGAAGTGGGGACCCTACTGGGGCCCTGGTTATGGCAGAACCTGCAGCTGTCACACAAGCCACATGCGGGCCACACTGAAGCATCTTTATTTCTCTGGGTCACACAGAGCTTGGGCCTCGGAGCCTCTTCTGCATGGGGGCTGCAGCTGCCAAGGGAGCAGCTGAGACCAGAACAAGCACTCGGGGGGCCCGCAGTGCAGGCTGGGATGTGCCCCGTGGAGTGAGAAGGTGTGAGAGCCCCCGGCCTCACTCTCTGCCGGGCCCCGAAGCAGACAGCGGCAGACTGGGCCGGCCTGCCTTTTATGAGACCAACCTAGCGTTTGGCAGTAAGTCCCAGACGAAGGGGGACAGGCAGCCGGGTTCCACCCAGCCTCTCCTCAGCAGGGGACCCCTGTGGGCAGCTGGGAAGGCAGTGGCCAAAGGTCAAGAAGATGAACTCTGCCCAGACTTCTGCTGCCTGTGGCTATGGTGGGACAGGGCTGCCTTTCTGGTCATACTGGGCAGCAGGCAGCTGCCAGGGACCTCCCAGTCCCAGGGCTGCCTTCCCTGCCCGGCAGCCCCTCTGCTGCAGCTTCCGGATGAGTTCCAGCAGGTTCATCTGCAGCATCAGCTCCTGGGATATAGAGGGGCCCCGTGAAGGCCAGAGTGACCCCCGGGCTCCTTTCACCCCGGCCCAAGGGTGCCAGGCAGTGAGCCCACCAGGCGGCCATCCTGTGAAGCCTGGTCATGGCCTGCCAGGATGGGGTGGAATCTGAGCCTCTGCCCCCAGCAGGGCCACTCGGAATGGCATGTGGGAGGGGAGCAGAAGAGGGCCCTGTGGGGCACAGCAGGCCTGGGGAGGGTGGGCAGTGCCCCGTAGCTGGCTGGCTCACCCTCTTGTAGGGAATGGGTCTGGCCTCCGTGCTGGGAATGGCAGAGAAATCCTTTCCAGAGTCTCAATCCTTCCACTTCACCCCCTATACACTGAGCCTGGCTCCCCAGGGACCAGTGGTGAAACCCCAGATGGAATGGGGTCTGCGGGGCCCAGGGGCACTTGGGCTAGGGCGGAGCAAGCCCAGGCACTGACCTGTGGGTTGGTGGTCACATAGAAGCCAGCCACCCCCGCCTTCTCCAGTGTGCTCTGCTGGTCAGCCACCTTCCGGTCCAGCTCCAGGACGATCTTCCGGTCCATCGCCTGCTGCTCCTCACGGATCCGGTGTTCCACCGCCTGCCGTGGGGGGTGGGGCGGGAGGGGGAGGGCAGCTCAAACACATGCTCCTGCTGCTGTCCCCAGCAGCACCAGCTCTGACACCACCGATGCATCCTCACCACACCCAGGCCTCTCCTCGGCCATGCGAACTCCTGAAGGGGTCCCTAAGGGGCTTCCACGAATGCCCTAACTTGGGGCTGCCTTGGGACCACACACACATCTCCGCAGGCACACCCTGCCCCGTGGCTTGTTGGTTACATGCCAGTCTCTGGTTGTCCCTGTGCTCCCTGGGAGAAGGATGGGCCCCTTCCTGGCTGGCCCCATCACCCCACCATTGCCCTTGTACCCCCTCAAGGCCACCTGCTCTGCGGAGGCCCCAACCCACGAGGAGCTGCTATCCAGGGGAGCACTGGTGGGCCCTCACCCTCCACCCAGCTCCACCACACCTGGCACCCTCAGGGAGGAGCCACCTGGTGGGACTCACTAGGCCTCCAGTGGCCCACTCAGGCCCAGGGTAGCCACTCACGCCTGAGCCCCAACACCCCTCCAGTCAGCCGAGCCAGGTGGTGCCCACAGGACAGCTGGCCGGCCACCCTGCCTGTGCCCCCCGTACCTCTAGTTCTCGTTGCTGAGCCGCCTGGAGCACAGGCAGGTTGTGGGGCCGGCAGGCCTGCTGGGCTTCCTGGTGCTTCTGCCGCAGCGCCTGCCTGAGCACTGGGAGGGAGGAGAGCCGGTCAGCAGGCGGTGGGACTCGGCAGCAGCCCTCACCCATGGGCACCTGCCTTGCCAGCCCAGCAGAGCAGCCAGGCCAAAGGCGTATCTGCACTGGGGACGCCGGCCTCCTCCATCCTCCCACCCCACTGTCACCCAGGGCTGGGCCCTCCAATGGCAAGTCTCCAGGGGACTCCAGAAGGTGCGGGGGACTGAAAGAGGGTGGGGTGGGGAAGACTGGCAGGGTGGGGCCAAAGCTGCAGCCCCAGACCCAGGGCAGCTGGAGGAGGCGGGTGGGAGGGAGGCTGCAGTCTGAGAGCTTCAGGGACCCCATGGCCACAGGCCACTGGACATCTACTCAAGTGTCGGAGACCACCTCAGACAAAGGCACAGGAAAGGAGCAGGAGGAGCGGGGTCGCTGAGTCTGAGTGTGGGGCCTCTGCCTACCAGGGGTGTGCTCAGCCCCTCCACCCTTCAGGGTGGGCAGCTCTACTCAAGTGTCGGAGACCACCTCAGACAAAGGCACGGGAAAGGAGCAGGAGGAGCGGGGTCGCTGAGTCTGAGTGTGGGGCTTGCTCACCAGGGGTTGTGTTTCAGCCCTCCACCCTTCAGGGTGGGCAGCCGCCTCCCCATCTGCAGTTCCTGCCTCTGCACAGCGCCAGACGGAGAAGGGTGGGCAGACCTGGGAGGCCTAAGTTTGGGATATTTGGGGCACCATAAGCCTGTGCGGCTCTGGGCCAGGAGTCTGTGCGGCTTGAGGCTCACCGGCCACCAAGTAAAGCTCCACGTCTCGCTGAACTGCAAACAGAGATGTGCACACACTCTCTAGTCTGAGGGGGAATGTACAGAGGAAGCGATCATGGGACATAAACCATCATGGCAAAAATGGAACACGCAGCACCCCGCAGCTGGCGCCAGTGACCAGTAAGTGCCAAATGGCTACAGCTCCAGAAGCCGAGGTGGTCCGCCACAAGAAACGTGAAACCCAACACTCTGTTCCTGGGAAGAGCCCTGATGTTGCAGCTCTTCTCTGGTGGCAAGTTTCCAGGGAACTCCAGGGTCCCAGAGGCCTCTGCAGGTAGCCTGGCTTCCACTGTGCCTGCAGCCTTCCCGATCGCTCTGTTTCTTGGCATTCTGTACACACCTCAATGATGGTGCATTTATCATAATGAATATGTTTCAAACCAAGAGCTCCCTCGAGACATTTCCATAACACAGGGAAGCAGGAAAATGCCATCTCCTTCACTCTACTGATCAAACATTGCTATAAGTGCTAGGCCCACTACCAGATTCCACTAGGTAGGTAATCAAAAGGCAAGAAGAGAGCCACACCGGCTGCCTGCATAGAAAGGGCTCTGCCTTAGACATGCCTAGGAACACAAAGGAGGCAGGAGCAGCCAGTCACCCCTGCCAAATCAGAAAGGAGGAAGAGAAAGTCAACGCAGGCATGTCGCTGCTGGTGAACCAGGGCCTGGCCCAAACCTGAAGCACAAACAGCAATTGGCCCAGGCAGCACAAACTCCCATCCTGCTAGAAGGAACCACAGCTCTATGGAAAAATGGCGGTTTCCAGGACTGAGACAGGGAGAAAACAAGAAAAGATGAGCATGAAACATGTAATTCTGAACCAGAAAGCAAGTACTACAGAATGATGGGGAGGCATCTAAAGGAGGCCTGGGATGCCCCACTGGCCACACATGGCACAGTCTGGAGCAATAAGGAATAATGAGCTATGCCTTGGGATTAAACTGTATGCATCTTACAGTTCAATAAAAAATTTTGAAAGACAATCGCCCAAAACATTTAGGGAAGAAGTAATGCCAATTATACACAAATCCTTCTGGAAAACTGAAGAGAACACTTCCAAACTCATCCTATAAGGCTGGCAAAAACCCGATACCCAAACCAGATATTACATGAAAACTATAGACCACATTTTGTCAAGAACATAGACAAAAATTTCCCCAACAAGATTTTAGCAAATCAAATCCAGCGTACATAAAGAGGATACTACAGCACGACCAAGTAGGATGGAATTCAAGTAACTGTAATTCACTGTAGTCATAGAAAATGATTCACCATGTGATCATCTCAAGAGCTGCCAAAAAGGGGTCTACCAAAATCCGACATCCATTCTTGATAGAAACACGAATCCTGGAGCAGATGGACAGTGCCTGCCTTCTGGGGAAGGGCGCCTTGCTCCGCTAGGAGGAATTTTTGCCACATTAAACCTGCTTCTAATCAGGCTTCTACCAGCAGTCCAGCGTACAGGAAACCCAGAGAGTGGAGAAGCAGGTTAAATGCACAAGGAAGCAACCTGATAGATCCACAGCAGGGCATCTGCCCTGGACTCTACACAAAGTCAATGCCACAATAAATGCTGGGGACTGTTCCAGAAGCAAAGAGACCAAAGTAGCCAATTGTAGTACATGAACTTGGACTGGATCCTTACTTATAAATCAACAATTTACCACAAGTTAGGTAGCATGATGTCGCCGTGCACTGAAAGTCAGGAGACACCCGGAACAGTTCATTTCTCAGGGGGCTACCCTCTGCAGCTGTGTAGGAGACCGCTCTTGTTCTAGAGAACCTGCTCCCAATTCGAGGCCAAGGTTGACCCCACCCCCCGGTTGTCTGGAGGCATTCTTGGTTTTCCGGACTAGGGAGGGTACCCCTGCCACCCTGCAATGCGCAAGACAGCATCTCACCATAGACTTACCCAGCCACAAATGTCAACATTGCTGGGTTGAAAATCCTGGTCTCCAGGAATGCTGAAGACTCTAGGTGAACCGCTATGCTGTCACACGCACGCATTTTGGGATATCAAGCACTAGAGCAGAACGTTCACTACTGAACTTTCAGCGGCGAGCACAAGCGCACGCAGTAGACTATCTTTTCAGCTTTTCTAAATGTTTCAACTTTTAAAAGAAGTTTGGGAAAAATAAAATAGCGAAGGTTGAAATCTGATGGTGCAGGGGGACCTGGCCTATATAATTCGCAGGAAAGGACTCCCAAGCGCACCAAGCATGAGGCTCAAGTGGGAAGCTCTTCGGGTTTGGAGGGCGCCACAGGAGACAGTGCTTGGGAATTTGATGTGCAACTGGAATGAGGCCCTGCGAGGCCTGAGAGAGAACTGACCCTGAAGGGCGCTGCACAGCTGTCAACAGACCTCCAACTACTGAGGGGCAACGCAATAAGTGCCACCACCAGAGTCTGCCTGTAGGCCAACCAGGCACCGAGGCCTAGGGCCATCCAGCCTGGAAGGGGGTGGGGCACAGGGCGGCCCAAGCGGGGAGTTTCTGCTAAGAAGTGGGGGCTGCAGCAACTGAAAACAAAACTGGTTGGACCCACTGGTCACTAAAAAGGCACTGTCTCAGTCTCCGCGCCCTTGATTTTGTTAATCTTAGGGACCTTTTCCGAACACTCCCAAGGAAGGAGCCGATCTGCACAGATACCAAGAGCTGCTGGGAGGCGCAGACCCCGAGGAGGAGGCACCTCGTCCCGCTGCCCACGCGCACCTCGGTGCTCGTTCTGTAGGCGCAGGCGCTGGTTGTACAGGCTCTTTTCAGTGAGGTGCTGGATCTCCAGTAGCCCCTGCACGATTTCGAACACGGTGCCGTCGAGAAGCGCCAGGGCCAGGTCGCTGAGCGTGGTGTAGGACAGGCGTTGCTGGAAGGAGCTGCGGGGTAGGGGGGCGCGGTGAGCCCGGGAGCGACCCGACACCCCCTCGGCAGGCCGCCGCCCGCCAGCCCGCGTACCTGGGCAACCCCTTCACAAGGCTCTGCAGCGCGGACAGCAGCTGGTAGTGTCGCTCCTGCTGCCGGGCACCGTCCGCCACCTCCTCCAAGGCGCCCGCGTATCGCTCCATGGCGCAGACGCCCGCTAGCCGCCGGCGGCAGCAATGAGCTCCCCCAGCCTCACGTCATCGCTAGCGCGGCGCGTCCCGCCCCTTTTACGACAGTCCCTCGAGCGGCGCGTCCCGCCCCCTTTTACGACAGTCCCGAGCGCGACGCGACCGGCCACCTGTCCTGGCCCGCGCTCCGCCGCCTGCTCATTCAGAGGGAGGCGCGCCTTTCCCCTCTGCGGAGACTCCGAGGAGGGTTTCGCTCAGCCCAGGCTTGCACCTGCCTGCTCCCTGCGCGACCTTAGAGGCGAGACTCCGCCACCTGGATATCGCAGGGCCATGGAGAATCCCACCGGCCCTTGCTGAGTCAGTGCGGGCTGAGGTCCCGGCTTCGCGCTGGCGAGCCTGCGAGGTGGACTGTCCCGGTCACCGGCCTTCCCCCAGAGGGGGAAGAGCCTACAGGATCTGGGTCTAAGGCACCATCCGCGGGCGAGCAGTGGCGCTGGGGTCTGTCTGCGTCCTCCCCGCCCCCGGGGTGAGACAGACGGGACCACCCTAGAGCCTCTGGGGCAGGACAATCGGAGCCAGAGTCCCCATCTGGGCCTGCATGGTCGCCCGGGGCTGCCCGGTCCCCAGCCCGTGAGCCCAGACTGCGCTCTCCCTGTTCCCAGGCCAGCTGCTGGGCCGGGGCTGGGGGGCTTCTGGTGGCTGGGGCTGAACCGGCTAGGAACAGGCTTTAATAGGAGGGGTTCGGGTGGAGGAAAGGCTCCTGCAAAGGTCCTGCCAGAATCAGGTCGGGTGGATGGACGAGAGGACCGGTGTGGGCAGGCTGCGGAAGCCAGCGCAGGAGGCAAGGGCCGGGGCTGCTCATTACAGAGGCTGCTGGGGGCTTGTTCGAAGAGCGGCAGGGGGCACGGAAAGGCTTGGGGACACAGACACGCTCAGACTTGCGTTTCACCGGGCACTCTTCAGCTGCCTGCGGGGTGGCTGGACTGTGTGGGATGACCCTGCTTTGACTAGGTTAGGAATTATGACTGGTTTCCGGAGAGAACATTGGTTAGTGATTGGCTATGGGGGAGAGGGGGCGTTGAGCCAACTGGGGTCCCCCTGAAGCGCCAGCAAAGTCTCTGGTTTTCTCCAGGATCTGTTTCCTCAGTCCCTGGCAGGATTGGCTCCGCTGCATGCCATGTCTGTGTGATCCCTTCCAGCCAGAAACCAGGAGTTAATGACAACAAGCGCTCAGGCCACTGCCGTGGAGGGTGGACCACAACCCAGAGCTGCTCATGCGCCGGGCACCCTGGCCTCCAGGTCCCTCAGAAAGGCAGGAGCTGGAGGTGGGACTGGAGACTGTGGGAGCTGAGCCTGCAGCAAGTGACCAGGAGCCAGCTGGGGCTGGGCTTGTTCATTGACACCTCCCCCGGAGGTCGTGAGTGGGATAAGCAGCCCAGCTGCTGTGGCCAGCTGGGCAACACTGTCACCAGCTCCGGGGGTCTGCCAGGTGGGGTGGGGGCTGTGAGCCACAGCAGGAGCAAGCCAGGCCTGGGTTTGGACACCTGCTGCTCTGCCTCATCCGGGTGCTGATGCAGGAACGCCCCTTCTCCCACCCTTGGTGCAACATCTGACCTGAACCAGCTTCCCCAGCCCAGCAACACTGCTCCCCTAATGTGGATGTCAACCTAAAGAAAGAAACTGAACCAAAGTTCATATAGTTTGTGTGGGCCAAGGCTGAGAGAGCTGCCCAGGACACACCAAGTTGCCCTGGGAGTGCTTCCTTCAGCCTTATCACAAGCAAGTTTTTAAAGACTGAAGGGGACAGGGAGTGGGCTGATATGAAGTCAGCGGGAATTCTGACTGCTTTCCAGAGAGAACCTTAGTGACTGGCTATACAGTGTTGGACTACAGGGTAAGAGTTATGGTGTCCAGCGCATGGCTTTTTATGTCTACTTGGCATCAGTCTAGAACCCACAGAGCAATTGGCTTCGAGAGGTCTTTAGCTCAAGTGGGAGTGGGATGTGACTGCTCTTTCATTCCAGTGCCTCTGTGGGCCAGATAATTAAAGGGGGCTCCCATTCCTCAGATAAAATGTTCCTTTTCTTTTTCATGGACATGAGCAGTGGGTCACTCAGGCATGAGGACTCCTGGGCCACCTCTGGGTCTTCAGGGAGGCCCTGGTCTGGAAGGAGGGGTCTCATCCTCCAGAGCCCCAGGGATGGGTGATGCGTGTGTAGGAATGGGGGAGCTGGTGCACAGACGTGCGTGTCCCGTGTGTGTGGACACGGTGGGCGCCATGGCTCTTCACGTCGGGTGCTATCCACCGAAGGCCTTTGCTCTGCGGCCACTGTCCACCTCCATTTGGCCTCCCAAGTCCTCCAGGCTGGCTGGTGACACCTTGGGTTAGTGTGGGTGACTGGTGTGTGTTGGGGAGCTGCAGGTCCCCTGTCTCTGATACAGGTGTGTCTGGGCAGACACCAAGGTTTGAAGGGATGGGCACCTGTGTGTATGTGTGTGTGCACGTGTGGCAAAAGGCTTTCCTGCGTGGCTTTTGTGTGGTCTGTCTTTGAGTGTCACATGTGCCTCTCCGTGTCTCTGTGAGTTTCCGTGTGTCAGGTTGTGTGTCCGTTGTGTGGGCGGAGAGACAGCTCTGCCGTGGGGCCCTGAGCCATTGCAGGATCCCCACAGGCCACGCAGAGGTGCGCACAGCAGCTGACCTAAGCCTGCTCCTCCCAGAACATCAGGCTGCACCCAGGTCACCGCTCACTCCCTCTGTCTCCCGAGACTGCTCCTCACTGCCTGCCTCGCTGGCCCTGGTGAGGGGGAGGCTCCCTGCCCCCGGCCCCCACAACAGAGCTGCAGATGAGGATGCCGCCCGGCGCAGTCTCCTGGGGCTGCTCCGCAGTGGGTGTCCCGCAGCGCGTGCTCTCTGACCCCTTTTGTTTCGGTGCCAGCCTTTTTAGTGTGTGGCACCAGGACGGCAGGGAGCTGCCACCTCAGGCTTCTCTGCAGTGAGTGGCCAGGAGCCAGCTGGGGCCAACATGGTGAAGCCCAGCCTGGCCAACATGGTGAAGCCCTGTGTCTACTAAAAGTACAAAAATTAGCCTGGTGTGGTGGCGGGTGCCTGTAATCCCAGCTACTCGGGAGGCTGAGGCAGGAGAATTGCTTGAACCCAGGAGGCAGAGGTTGCAGTGAGCTGAGATCATGCCATTGCACTCCAGCCTGGATGACAAGAATTAAACTCTGTCAAAAAAAAAAAAGTAAATAAAAATAAAGATCCCCATCTCCCTTGGTGTTTTCTGGGCACTATCAGAGGCCTGGAGTCCTAGACCCCTCCTGAGGCCTGTGCTGCTCTAACTGGTGGCTGTCCCTCCAACACCTTCACACCTCCCTCCCCAGGCCTGAGAACCAGGGGAGCAGATGTGGAAATGCCAGTCTGAGGGCAGGAGAAAATGAGATGAGATATCCAGCCCCAGTAGAGAGGGAGGGAAAAGGGAAGTGAATTCTCCTTCCCCAGCCTTTGTTCTACTCAGGCCCTCAGTGGATTGGGTGATGCCGTCACACTGGGGAGGGCCGTCTGCTTTACCCACTGGCTCACATGCTAAGTGCACCTGGAAACGCCCTCACGGGCACACATGGAACAGTGTGCAATTCAGGCACGCCGTGGCCCAGCCAGGATGGTCAACATAAAATCAACCATTGCAGGACCATGGGGGCTGATGAACGATCTCTGAGCTCACTAGAGAGAAACCTCCAGTGAACAAAGAGGAGGCACCGATACTCCGATTCTGATTTGCTTCCTCAAGTATTGGCGGCAGCTCAGGCCTCACCCGGGGACCTTGCTCAGCTCATTACATAAGATCTTTTAAAAGGCAGCCACTTTTGCGTGGCAATTCAGCCAATAAGCCTAGAAACCATCCAACAGGCCGTGCGTGTGGCCTTTGTGCTCGGCCCGGGCCTGCTGTGCACTGGCTGTGCACCAAGCCTGGTGCGGGAGGGGGTTTCTCCCATCAGCCCCACCACGTAAAGCCTTTGTTATTGCCTGTGGTCAGGACTAACAAATCACACACAGGAGTCGGGCTTAATTATGACACTATGTGTCACGTGGCATCACAAATAGTCAAAACTAGGGACACAGACTTGAGGCACATTATACTGCTATATAGCATACCTGTTGTGAAAGCAGATAAAATGTAAAAGCTGCTGGGACCCCCCAGACACTTTGAGCCTTGAGAGAGATGTGACTGATCTGAGCCACGTAAGCAGGTAGCTGCAACTTCAGCTTCTCGGATCATACATTTTCTCTTCCTCACTGTTCCTGTTCTGTAAATGACCAGGAGAAACCAGAGATCAGGCCTCCCCTTCTAGTCACTGGTCTTCGTCATAGACCCATTTCACATCTTCATTGTGTGTTTTTTTTTTTTTTTTTTGAAACGGAGTCTTGCTCTGTCACCCAGGCTGGAGTGCGGTGGCATGATCTCGGCTCACTGCATGTTCCGTCCCCCGGGTTCACACCATTCTCCTGCCTCAGCCTCCCAAATAGCTGGGACTACAGGCACCCGCCACCACGCCTGGGTAATTTTTTGTACTTTTAGTAGAGACGGAGTTTCACCATGTTAGCCAGGATGGTCTCGATCTCCTGACCTTGTGATCCGCCCACCTCGGCCTCCCAAAGTGCTGGGATTACAGGCGTGAGCCACCACACCCGGCCATGAAATGTTAAATATGCCTTTCCCATAAAGGAACACTGCCTTGACTGATCAGATTACTGTAACTGCATGCTAGCCTTGAGGGAATATGTTGAAACCCTGCTAAGCTTCCCAAACCTCATTTATGTAAACGAGCCCCAAAACTTCTCCACTTTGGAGCTCTGAATTCCATTCTTTGGAATCTGTGTTCCTGGGTGGCTATCGCCAAGGTTTGTGCTCAAATAAACTCTACATTTAACCGTATTTCCTGAAACTTGCTATGTAAGGTTGACAATATCATATGGCAACCAAGAGATGGCCTACAGATGTGAGTCACATTATATCACTGGATGACTTATTTAAATTTTCTTATTTTTGAGGCAGGGTCTAGCTTTGTTGCCCAGGCTGGAGTATAGTAGCACAATCTCGGCTCACCGTAGCCT